TTACATAGTATATCGGTCTCTGGATTTTGTCTAAGACCTCGAGATGGCAACTATTCATTGCAAGGACGAATGGTAGATTTGTACATTTGAAGGATGGACTCAAGCCAGAAAACCTTTCTGGCGCGACATAGGGAACCGACTTTCCTTGCAGTAGATGAAGCTATTGATTCAATGTAGTTGTTCTATCTCAGGTCAGTGGAAAGCGTGAGACCAAGCAGGTGCAGAGAGAAGCTCTCGTGAAGCTGGGCATCAGCCATTTTGATAAAAGGCAGGGAGTTTTCTCCATGCTTATATATTAATTGGATCATTTTTTGTTACTACTGTATTACAGAATTGACGAGAGGCTAACACATGCCCATCAATTAAATGTATTGTTTTAAGTGTTGGCAAAGACCGCGTTAGTCGCGTAGCGTGTCACTATGCAAAGAATGCTGCAACAAGGCTGGAACATAGAGGTGATGTTTGAAATGCTGAAGTGGACAGAGAGCTTATAATTAACCACATTAAAAGCTTTGCATGTCGCGCAAGCCATTATGGAAGAAGAGGAGCGCTTGGTCGGAAATGCCTCGCAAATGACCTCCCAAATGACCTGAGCATTAAAAAATGTATAAACATTTAGCCACGTCAGCTATTCTTTGTATAATTTAATATTTAGTCAGAAATTCACCTTGGGATTTGGACAGCCCGCAACTGACACGTGTCCTACCTACAGTATTGACAGTGATCTTCATATTTTATGAAGAAAATTTGAATTATTCAATAGAATAAACAACTTCTAAATTTAAATAACTTCATTTTACACTATGTGTTTTTCTTTTAAAATATTCTTAGTGGTATCATCAGAATTTCGCATAAAAGACACAGATCTATTCCCCAAAAGATATCTGTGGAGAGGGGAGACGAGATAACATTCAGAAACAGTATAAATAAAAATAAAAAAAAATTTTCAGGGCTAGAGTTAAGAGATACAATCTTTAGATAGTGAGAGAGTAGTACCCCATACCACGCTTTTGGTGGTACCTCAGCGTATTTCTACATTTTGTTATCACGCTTGTTTTCTTTTCTATCAATATTTTGTTCTATTTTAAATAGAAACAGTTTATACAGATGCAATAGATTCATCAGATTTTTTTTTAAAAAAACGCTTTCAATTAGAATACACTTATGCAGTCCAATTCTAGAATTGAAATGTTCTTTTTATAGTCGAATGATCATATATTAAGGTTTTAAAAAAGAAAAGAAAACTGCGTCTTATTGAAACAAATTTGAGCTATAAGAAACGTCTTTTTCACAGTTTCAAGAAATTGTATTTATCCCGTTTTGCATTCGAGCTATTCCTTTGCAAAATGACACAAAACAGGAAGCATCGGAACATATTGTTTTTGAAAGTAATGAAGGTAGTCTGTTAACTTTACTCGTACTGATTTTTGTTCATATTCATCCAAGAGAATACAGCAAGGTATATACGGCGTACAGCGTCACCACGTTGAAACACCATCTCCCGTATAAGCGCTGAAGTTAAGCAACGTTGCGGATAATCAGCACCTAGATGGGTGACCGCTTACGAATACCAGATGTTGTAAACATGAATGTCCGATTGGTGTAATGGACAATGGATCGAAAGTGTTAATCGGAGAGCCGAGTTCCAATTCCAGTCGGGTTCGTTATATTTACGCCCAAGTAACCTTGAAAAAGGTACAAATCCGCCTCTTCTCCCCAGTTATGGGTTAATTAGTAAGACATGTATCACTAAATCATTCTAATATTAATATGTTTAGATTTTGGAATTAAATAACTGTTGAAGCTTGGATAAGCATGGAATAATAATAATACAACACAAAATGTACGTAAACAAAATGTATTGAAACAAGGAAAAGGTACACAATATTTACAGTTAGTTTTGGTATATTCTTGGGAAGACTGTTCTTGCAGAATGGGTTGACTAAATCGCAGTCGGGCAGAGTCTCTCGATTCGATCGCTTTTTCCTTCCCGTCTTCCGGTACCAACCCATATTTATATGGTCGGTACTCCACTTATGTAAATTAGGTGTATCGTACCACAACAATAACCCATAGAGGTGTTTATACGCCGTTAAACAAACAAACCAAAGTATACATGATATATTCTTCTGCAGTTGGTAAGTATAAAGTATCAATTTTCATTCTGCACTCAGTAGCTTCACAAAAATATATATATATATATATATATATATATATATATATATATATATATATATATATCAGAGAGAGAGAGAGAGAAAAGAGAGAGAAAGTGTTCATAAAGTCCGTGTGCACTTTAAAAAATGTATAACTTTATTTGTATTTGCGATAGAAATAATCTGTAAAAAAATGTTATAAAGTTTAATGTACCTAGATTTAAGTATAGCTAAAATAACTAATGTGATTTCAGGCATTACTGTAAATCATTTGGCAAATGTTTTCCGTGAACTGCAAAATCGTATTACCCATTGTATTACTAATGATGGAGGACATGTGGAAACTTAAATAAAATTTCAATAAAACCTTAAAAAATATAGATTTCTTTCTTTCTAATACTTTTACTAATTATTTCTATCACAAATACAAATAAAGTTATAAATTTTAAAGTGCACACGAACTTTATGGACACCTGTATATATATATATATATATATATATATATATATATATATATATATATATATATATATATATGATGTCATATATTATGAAATAGTTTCAGTCCGACAATTATTTTAATATATTTATTGTTTCCCAGAAGAAACAAAGGTTTGATATGATTCCCAAATCTACTGTTACGTACGTTTTGTCGATGATAATTTTGCGTCTTTTGCACCACATACTGAGGCGAATAGATATTTTCAACATCTAAACAATCTTCACCCCCTCCTTACAATTTACGACGGAAAGAGAAAATAATATGTTGCCTTTCTTAGACATTTTAATCCAGATAATTTCAACATCTTTCGTCACTAGCGTATACAGAAAACAAACTTTTACAGGTTATTATAGAGATTTTCTAAGCATAGCATAGATGTGACACAAGGTCCCCACATTTACAGGGTTATTTCCAAGTTGGGATTCTTTTGCCTCTAAATCTAGGAAGATTAACCTTATCAAAATTATTTCCCACCTTTCACTAATAATATGCTTTGAACTTTAATTGGATTCCGAACCCAAACAGACCACCGACATTTTTCTTGTAAATGGCTACCCTGAAAGTGTTCTTTTGAATAACATTAAACTTAAAATTTCTACGTTTAATGATATTAAAACATTTGTTCCTCCTAAGTGTCCTATTTATATCAAACTATCATGGATTGGTGCTTGTAGTCAATATTTTAGCGATCAGATCTCATCGTGCATAATGCACTGTTTCAATTCTATTGTAGTACGTACCGCTCTATTCGTAAAGACATTTTTGCCTATCCCGCCGACAATATTTACTTATTTATCACTTGAAATGTCATTGCGATGTTGACTATGTAGGCAAAACTATTCAGCTGCTTGAGGTGAGGATTACTCAACATGTACCTAATACTATTCGTAAGCATATATACCAATAATATCATTCGAGAATTCCCAGACACACGAGTCTATCGTTGGTGAACACTTGTTAAATACAAATGGGTGTAGGAAGAATGATTCAGAAGAGTTCTCTCTGCACAGAGCCCGAAAAAACAAAACCTGAATATCTTAGAAGCTGTTGTCCGGCGATTTGCAGACAGAAGGAACTCAAACATAAATTAGAACCGTTTGGGGAATCATTGACACGAGATGGATGACAATAAATTTTCCCTTCTTGTCTTCTCTCCAAATTCAAGATCCTATTTAAAAAACGACACTTTCAGTAGTATTTTAATACCGACGATTGAATTCTGACAAAGTTTCGCTTGAAATGTGCCTTAGGTTATATTTATTTTATTATTTTTTAGTTGAGGTTATATTTATTTTATTCAATTTAAATCGTTGAATATTAAATTAAGATCTCTCTCTCTTTTCTCTCTCTCTCTCTCTCTCTCTCTCTCTCTCTCTCTCTATATATATATATATATATATATATATATATATATATATATATATATGCAGTTTTATGTATATTATTTATACATTATATATGCGCAGTAATTATTGGAAAGCGCTCAATATCAGCGACCGCAAAGGGCCTGAAACCCAGGCACACAAACTCACATCAACGCAATTATATATATATATATATATATATATATATATATATATATATATATATATATATATATATATTTAATTAATGGAAAAAACGCATCATCGAAAACACGTTTATGAATTATAATTTATTTCAATTTCAAAGTTTAATTTTAAATAATTTCTAAGAAATTAAAGGATTTTTTTCCACATTATTTTATTACATTATACTTTATATTTTAGCGTCTACAAAAATGAGTTTTTATGCAAAATATTTGATATTTTCGAAATCAACATTGACATAATACAATGCTTCATCCTATGTTCAGCTACGTTTGTTTTTTTTTTTTTTCTAGGAGTAGGGATTTTTAAATCCACCAATCTAAATCCATTTTGGTTGGAGTTGTACTGATGTATTCAACATTGTTTGTTTAACAAGTGAATGACAGGGAATAAAATATCGTCTTCGGTCAAGTAAGGAACGCATTTTATCTAACCACTTCCGACCGCAAGGAAAGGAAGGTTTAACTCGTACTATTCCGTCACTCCTGATTCTGTTTTCGTTGATGCTGGCCATTGTGACACATTGGTCTCTGTCATATTTAAAAGCAGCGAAGCAAATTTTAATCCTGAAGACTCATTACGTGTTTTCTTTTGACCAAATCTAGAACGATGGCATTCCGAGGTCAAGACTGGCTTCTGATTTTAAGGACAATAAATAAAACAATACAACAAATTCGTGTAATTGAGACACGTAGGAAAAAGAGAGGGTGAAAAAAGAGAAAGAGAGAAATAGAGAAACAGAGATAAGGAGAAATTAGAGAGAGACAGAAACAGCTATATGGAGAAAGAGGGAAAAAGACAGATAGACAGACAGAAATGGAGAGAGAAATTGAAAGAGAGAGAGACAGAAAGAGAGAAACAGAGAGAGAGAGAAAGATAGAAAGAGAGAAATGGAGAAAAGAGACAAACAAAAAGAGAGAAACAGCATGAGAGAAATGGCGAAAGAGAGAGACAGAAATAGAGAGAGACAGAAAGAGAGAAATGGAGAAATAGAGAAACAAAGATAAGGAGAGAGGGAGAGACAGAAACAGCTATATGAAGAAAGAGGGAGAGAGAGAAAGGCAGAAAGACAGACAGAACAGGAGAGAGGGAGAAATGGGAAGAGAGAGATAGAAAGAAAGAGACATCATGAGATAAATGGAGAAAGAGAGAGAGAAAAAACAGAGAAAGAGGTAGAGAGGTAGAGAAAGTCAGAAAGAGAGAAATGGAGAGAGAGAGAGAGAGAGAGAGAGAACGATAAAGAAAGAGAGGGAAAGAGAGAAATGGTCCTGCTGCTTTTACTTTAACAAAACCAAATGACTCATATTGCTATAGGTGGTTTTGCCTACAAAAGTGAGAAGTTTTGAACTATGAGGGAACAGTCTCTTTATTAAGACTTTCGAATACACAGACCGGTATATATAATTCTCACTTTAAAAAAGCAAGTCTCTATTTAAACATCCGTATCCACTAAAATATAACATTTAAGGCAATAAGAAATAATGTCGCATTAAAACAAACTTTATTAAATCCTTAAGTATTATAAAAGCCAATCTCACTTTTTATTTGTTTGTTATTTTAGTGTCATACTGAAGCAAACAAAGATAAACTACAATGAAATCTGTACTGATTTTGGCTCGCCACCTGAAGTTAAACAAGCAAGTGGCATATCAACACGCCAGAGTATTGTTACTGAAATATACGGCTAAAATTATGTTTTAAATGCGAACTTAAAGGTTTCAGGTTTATATTTCTATTTTTAAAGTTTCTACTTATTTCGCATAATATTTTCAAATAAATATTTAAAATAATATTGATTCACATTAATGTCCACCTGAAAAGATTGTATTATCAATGAAAATTAAAATTAAAGTCTTGTATTAATTATAGGCTTATAAAAACATCCGTTTTTAATTAAAGATGTCTGCCTATAACTCCTTTATGTCTAGCATTCCAAAAATATCAATGAGAATATAAAATGTAAAACTCATTTAAAAAAAACTGAAAACTAAATTTCGCATTTTCTTTGGGTTTTCATTGTGTCTAATATGCATAGCATTGAAACACCATTTCACGTATGATTACCAAAGTTAAGCAACATCAAACCTGGTCATTACCTAGATGGGTAGCCGCTTGTGAATCCCAGTTGCTGTAAACTTCGATGTGCTGTTGGCGTAATAGATAAAGGCTTAAAGAACCAAGTTCCAATTCCAGTTGGTCTCTTTATATTAAATTACGCGCAAACAACTGTGAGAAGATTATGTATGCACCTTCTCTTCCCCGGCTATGGGTTAATTAGTAAGTCTTGTATCACTAAAAAATTTTATCTAAAAGAAAAAATTCTACCAATGTAAAAACATTTTCTGGCTTTAAATGGCCTTAAAATAGTTGATAAGCAGTAAAAAACGATTAATCAATCAATAATTTGATTAGCCACTTATTAAAATTTTAAACCTTTTCTTTTCCAATAATATTGAAAATGCTAAATTCTGGTTTATGACCCAGAAAGATATAAATGAAAGAACACGTTGATTGGCAAGGAAAAGCAAAAGATACAAAAAAAGACATTATTCAGATTTTTAAAATATTCAGCAGAAAATGCAAGTAAGACAGACAGAAACATCCCGACAGTCACGTCTCCAGCTATAATATATTAAGCATAGAGACTTTCACACAATAAAGAGGAACTAACGATTCATCATTACTCTGTCGACTCTCTGCCTTCGGGCGGAGGAAGACCTAGACGAGGCTATGCCAAAGAGCAGAGTCTCGTCTGAGGAGCTAGACAGCTACCCGACCCCTTGTATACGGGGTCTACGAGCAATTTTGGCAAGAGTCTACGGGCTCGGATCGTCCTACGTAAAAAAATAACGGCCTTATCCGGTCTTGTGGGGAGGTCTCAGGTAAATACTGAGGTCGCTATGTTCACTGGGAATTATATATATTTACATATATAATACCTTTCATGGTGGAACAATATTTTGTCACAAAATTCGCCTCACTTATATTAAATACTAGCTATGATACCCAGCGTTGCTTGGGTTGAGTCGATTTCATTTCCCCCTCTAGCCTATGCAGTCGTTTTCCTAGGGTCGAGTTATCTGTATATATTGTAAAATGATATTCGAGAAATTATCATAACTGAAGAAGATGGATTGGTTGAAACGTCTTGCTACACGTTTATATAATACTCGGAAATTTTTCCTATTATAATTTCTATATGTTTGTTTCAAAATGCACACACACGTAATACAGAATGGAGACAGACTGGCTTTATAGCAAGAAATGCATTTTATAACAATGACAGGAAGTTACATACAAATTTAAAGAAAAACTGTTCACTCCGATGATTTTCTAAAGTTCATACTCGATATTTGAATACAAAATATTTTTTTCATATTTGTAGTACGAATAACTTATAGGTTGATGGGGTTCACTCTGACATCCACACCATTGACAGTGACTTTTGTTGAGAGATAATTCTGTATCAAGAGTTCCATGTGGAAAAACTGAGATAGATAGATAGATAGATAGATAGATAGATAGATAGATAGATAGATAGATAGATATAGACAAATTGATATAGATAGTGTTGTAACCTAGGGAAGGTTACTGAATAGAATAATCATACAAAGGTTGCTAATGAACGATAATACTTAGGAAAAGAACAGCACATATAAGTTTCGCCAGCGGTGCGTATAAGAAGTAGTCAAATGCTAGAAGCGAGTCCACAATGAATCTACAACTGCAGACCAACATACAGTATTTACTACTGTACTTATGTGAATGAGGACATACCCATTATTGTACGTAGGTATGCTACAACAGATAGATAGATAGATAGATAGATAGATAGATAGATAGATAGATGACAATAGACTGTGATAGACATCTATCTTATAGATCGATACATATGGACAAACTGATATAGATAGATATAGACTAAATAGATAGAGATAGATGTTAACAGACTGAGACAGATAGATAGATAGATAGATAGATAGATAGATAGATAGATGTGAACCGACTGAGATTCTGCCAATAAATATATTCATAATAAAATTGGAATTAAATACACAATATTACTAAAACTTTCAGAATATACTTATATATATATATATATATATATATATATATATATATATATATATTTCTTATCACAACTTTGTGCTTGTCAGTTGTATGTATTGCAACATAAACAATTGTTCATAAATAACTCCAGAACATACAATCCAACTGAGTACCTTGACATTATAAAATCTTCATCTGTCTTTTATTCATTGATTTTGCAAAAATTTCTATTATTTCGAATTGCAGCAGATTTTATTGACTTCTCGAGATGATCTTTGCTGGAATATTGTTTTCCATCCCCGTACACCATTTTTATTGAAAGACCACGAGCTTTCTTTTAGATTAACATTTGGAGAAGCTGGAGGCCATTACATTAATTTAATATCTTTAAAATATTTTCCTTGTAAGATGGTCAGCTTTGCAGAATGTGAAGGAGAATTATCTTGTATAAATGAACTCTTTAGCACAAACTTTCTAAGATCTGACCTTTACCATTCAATAGTTATTTGGATTTATCTATCATCATCATCTACTTTTAAAATATTTTTATTTGCAATACAAATCCAAAACCTTATTCCAACTTCCGCTGTTATCTTCTCAATGATACTGGCTGACTATTGACATGAAAGAATCAACAATTAACCCAGCCATCATCATGAACATCCAATGTAACTTTATATTTACCATTAAATTGTATTAAAAATTCATTTTTCATCGAAAAAGAGTTTGCTTACAGAAAATATTGTCCATATTCATAAAAACAACTAAAAGCAAATAAAAACATTTGAAATTAAATAATATCTTTGCTTTGAGTTTTGTATGTCACAATTCAGAGTTGATGTTCTGCTAGGGAGACCCAAGTAAAAAAAATACATGATTTGATTTCCTCAAAAACATTTGCTTTTTACTAATATAATCACTAAACTGAATGCTATTGAATTTCTAGAATTTTCATAAAATTAGTTATGGCGGGGGGTAATAAATATTAAAAACATATTTTTGCCATGACTTTAAAAAAAGAAAACATATTTATAATAATTTCCATCATTTCTGAATAGTTTCTGAAAGTTTCATTAGTTTCATTATCATCCGACAATTAGTTTTACATTTGCAAGATTTTCTATATTAATGTCTGTCATACAAAAAAAAGTGCTAAAATTGTACGTTATTTTATTAGTTCCGGTGATACAAAGAGAAAGAAGTTTTTTTTAATCAAAATTTAGAATGTTCTAAAAAGAAGAAATAATTTTTTAAAATAATTTAAAAAATGCTTTTGTCTTCCCTCTTAATAATGATGCATGTTTCATTAAATAATATAGACGAGTTTTGCCTATTTATTTTAAGTAAGTTTCTTTCATATTGTCTGTTAAACTTAATAACATTATCATTGAAAGACGAAAGGAAATCACCATATTGATACATGTTTAAATCCAGTTTAAGCTTTCGGCTTACATAAGCTATTATCAAAGATGACAATTACATTTCAGTATATCAAACAATACACGGACGAAACAATAATGATAGTCAGTTTTTGTTGCATGAAAAATTTCAAAGCAACGACAAACTCGTGTATACGAGACACAGAAGCGCAAATCGCATCGCAACTGGTGACGTCACACATGACCACGCGAGAGTGAAAACGAGAAGTATTAAGTATGGGTATCCGCTGTGACGACGTTACGCGTCTACGATATATATATATATATATATATATATATATATATATATATATATATATATATATATGTGTGTGTGTGTGTGTGTGTGTGTGTGTGTGTGTGTGTGCGTATATTTTGGCAGCATATTTTCATTAAGACATGTCTCATTAAATAATCATTAAATAATTTAGACAATTTTCGTCTACTTATTTTTATTAGGATCCTCTCGTAATTACTAACAAGTTTCTTAGTATTCTTATAAAAGGAAGAAAGAAAATTCCCATGTTGATGCATATTCATTTTATTCCGAGTACTTTCGACATTAGCACAATGTCATCATCAGGTTCTGTTTTTCTTTTCTAAGAAAAAAATTATGTGTTCATCATTTTTCTAAAACAAAATTGTTTTATTCATCTGAAAATAAATTTTACGTGTGAAGTAAAAAACGCTAAGTTTATGCACTGCACAATTTTTAAATTTTATCACCGAGACACACGTGCAAATGTCAAGGGATGTAAATAAGTTATTGTAATGCGTAAATATTTTTAAAAAAGGAAAAATAATCTCTTAACATTCACAACAGCATGCCTGTCCATATTCGCAATTTAGGAAAATTCTTGTTGAAAATACATGTATACTAATTCATGAAAATAATAAACATAAACTAAAATTCTTGACACATTACAAAATTGAAATCAACCCTGAATAAAATTAATTATGAATACTGCACAAATGTTTTAAATTTTTTACAGTAGATAGTTTAAAATATCTAAGATTTAACTAATAGTTTTAAATATTTTTTTCTTTAATATTTAGACATTATAATAACTTACATATCTAGAAGAGTTACTGAGTATCTGAGTAGGATGTTGCTGATTGCTGATTGCAACATCCTACTCAGACGAGAGCCTCTTTCTCACTCCGGGCATTATTTGCGATGGCTTCCGCCTCGTTTCGCTATCCATGGCACCTGAGAAGACTCTGGGGATCAGCATTTGATTTCATGGATATCAGACATTTATGACAGATAAACTTTGTGCCCCTGATTTGATAGACTTGATCTGCATGCCTCTACAACTCTTCTGTGTAACCACGTCTCCTACCTCAATCCAGATGATGATCTGTAAACCTTGTTGCAAACAATACAGGTACAATCGAAGTCCTGAAAACAAACATAATAGAAAATATGAAAAAAATCTGATGTATTATGACATTTTTAAATACGTAGGTGGCTTATTATATACACCCTCATATATATATATATATATATATATATATATATATATATATATATATATATATATATATATATATATAAGTAACGAAAATCTTGGTAATCCGTATGGATAATTCCAAGAAGAATGAAATCCTGAGAGCCGAATGTTAAGTCAGAGCGAAGAATTTAATTTAAAGAAAAACAAACCACTGTAAGCCTCCATTTGTTATAATTTATTTCACCATAGAATTTTAATTTTCTCTGGAGCTTCAGACTTCACTTTCAAAAGGTGAAAGGAAAAGTGAATTTAAAATTTACACTTTTGACGGGTAGTATTAAGCTTATATAACTTGACATAGAGGGTAGTGGGGAATGGTATGAGAGACATGTTCGAGGTTAGTGAGGTAAGGTAGAGTTTTAAAATTTAGAAAGAAATATAAAAATACATTTTAATACTCTCCCTTCCCTCTCTAAACTCGACCATGTCTCTCATACTATTCCTCACCACCCTCTATGTCAACTTATCCAAGTTTTGCCCATTGAGTGTTGGTGTTAATAAAATAGTGTTCGATGTAATATAACAGGACTATAAATTATATATTAATAATAATATCCAATAAAAATATACAATAATATAAAATAATAATATACAATAATTACATACATTTTCCTCGCTAGTAGAACGGCGCTGAGTTTCACGCACAACGAAATCTTGAGGTGCTGAATTAAGACTCAATTCAGTGAAGTGAAAATTCTAATCACTCAGACAAAAAACTATTTGCCTTGGTATATTTATCACTTAAATATAAAGATTACTGATGCCGGTTGGTTAATACTAATTTTATGGTAAAATGTTAGACAAGCATAGTAAAATCTGACACGTAGCTAGATGCGAAGATACTGCTGTAGACAGAAAGATAATGAGAATAGATAGATAGATAGATAGATAGATAGATAGATAGATAGATAGATAGATAGATAGATATGAGCTGACATAGATAGATAGATAGATAGATAGATAGATAGATAGAAAGATAGATAGATAGATAGATAGATATGAGCTGACATAGATAGATAGATAGATAGATAGATAGATAGATAGATAGAGAGAGAGAGAGAGAGCGAGAGAGAGAGATGAGCAGACTGGGATAGATTGATCGGTAGATAGGTATGAGCTGACGGAGATAGATAGATAGATAGATAGATAGATAGATAGATAGATAGATAGATATGAGCAGGCTGAGATAGATATGTACAGTCTAAGATAGAACTGAAGTTGACATTTGTAACATCAGAGGAAATGCATTATATCAAATAAAACAGACTGTAAATCAAACACAATCCACTGGG